TCTCTCTCTCTCTCTCTCTCTCTCTCTCTCTCTCTCTCTCTCTCTCTGTGTGTGTGTGTGTGTGTGTGTGTGTGTGTGTGTATGTGTACATACAGAATGTCTTAGAGAAACCTCAGCCTGCATCTGGACACCAAAACCAGGTCAAGGCTTGGAGCCTTGAAAAGGTATCTAGGGGAACTTTAAGAAACAATTGTACTCAGATGTGGTGGCGCACGCCTTTAATCTCAGCACTTGGGAGGCAGAGGCGGGTGGACCTCTGAGTTTGAGGCCAGCCTGAGAGCCAGGGCTACACAGAAAGACCCTGCCTTGAAAAAGAAAAAAGAAACAGTTGTGATTCTCAGTATTACTTCATTCCCCATTCCAAATGTCAGGCTTAGGCTGGTTAAAAAGAAAGAGGAGGAGGAGGAGGAGGAGGAGGAGGAGGAGAAGGGGAAGAGGAAGGGGAAGAAGAAGAAGAAGAAGAAGAAGAAGAAGAAGAAGAAGAAGAAGAAAGAAGAAAATCTGGTATAGATCTAAGGTGCCCGTTTCCTTCCCCCTGCCCATGGACTCTAACTGAAATGGAGGTCCTCTGCACAGTAGATGAAGAACTGTAAGTATGCCAGGCTGACTGGGACTGCTGTCGACTTGTAGATCCGGACTTGGGTGTCAGTCTCATAGGGCAGCTTTTGATCTACCTGTAGACAGCAGAGAATTGGGCAGGGTCGGGGTCAGAGGCAGGGCACAGTCAAGTTCACTCACTTTTGATCTTTCCCAGAATCCCACTTGATGAATAGAGTGGACAACCCCTTGGTGACACACTGCACACAGGAGATATAGACCAATGGCCACTTGGCAGGCTCAAAGCTACCCGAAGAAGCATCCAGGTAAGAAATATTCCTGGGGAATTGGGGGTGGGGCAGCCTCACCAGCGCCTGATCTCCCACACCGAGGGCATAGATTGTGACCTTCAGGTAGCCTCGCACACCGCTGGTGGTCTTATTTTGCTGGCAGAGGCCTAACCATTTCCTTAGGAGCGTGTGACCTGGGGAGGCAGAGCCAAAGTGAGAGGACCTCCAGTCTCCCCACTCTCCCCTGAAAACAGCCTTTGTTTCTCAGGAAAACAGGTCAGGCAACGTCTCACATATTCTGGCTTTCATTTAATAGTAGAGAAGAACAAAAGTCCCCTCTGCCACCAAGCAGATGGTACAATCACAGGCCTGCTAACGAGTACCTCTGAGAAACAGGGATCCCCTTTCCTCCCTGGCATCCTGATGTTGTGACTGACCAGGCCTGATGCCAGACATCTGGAGGCGAGCCGCTCTCCACCCCTAGATGAGCTCAAGCTGGTATCTCAGTTATGACCGGCTCACAGTAAGATCCCCCACTTCAATCTCAATCTCTTGTAGAATAGTGGTTACAAGAGCTGGGATGGGTAGGATGAAGGAGAAGAGAGAGAGGATGAATAGTGGGTACAGGATGTGGTTGGATAGGAAGAAACAGGTTCTCTACAGCAAAGTAATGAGGATTGACAATAATTGTCTATTGCAAAATGATAGGCTATTGAATGTTCTCAATACAAAGAAATGTGAGGCCAGACTGGGTATATAAGGTCTTTCCTCAACAAACAAAACAAAAATGCCAGCGGATGCAGAGACCCAGGGCTGGCCAAGATGCTGAGAGTCCGCAACACCAAGGATGCAGCCTTAAGGCAGTACCCTTCTAATTTTCCTTCTAAAGGTCAAAAGACATTGTGGAAGAGTCAGGAAGAGGCTGAAGATAGAGAGATGGGCACAACACAACCCTGGTGATCATGAATTCATAGCAGCTGTGGTTACCTGCACTGAGCCTGTGCAAGGCTGGCCCTATTAACCATCAGTCACAGACTGAAGAGGGGGTCCTGGGTTCCTATCCCTCACTGCTAAACTATTAGCTGCCAATAAACTTGAGAGATAGGGAGCCGCTGTCTTTAGCTGTGCATCTACCACTTGCCCACCAGGCTCTAAACCCATGGCCGCACAGATGGCTCTGGTTAAATTCAGTGGATCACAAAACTATACGTATGTGACAGAGATAAGAGGGCTGAGTAAGAGAAAAACCAGCAAGCATTACATGTGCATGTGTGTGTGTGTGTGTGTGTGTGTGTGTGTGGAAATGTCAAAGAACACATTTAACCAATTTATATATGTATATGTAAATTAAAATAAGTATGCTTTTAAAAATCATAGTATGAGGCATTTGCCTGTGATCCCAGGAGACAGAGGCTGGTTTATGAGTTCTAGGCTAGCCTGGTCTTCATAGTAAGAGCCAGCCTCAAGAAAAACAATACAACAGGTTTGAAAAACAACAAAGCTGTGGTCTTCTGGCCCTGGCTTCACTCATTAGAAATATAGGTTAGAGTTTCAATAACAATTTAGCATTTTACACCCCCCCAAAAAAATGTCTTGAACTTTTCGGAGAAAGATGGTATTAGTAGAAATTATGATAAAATATTCCACAAAGTAGAGTAAATCTTTTCAAGCATGGAAAGTAACTCATATCCTGTGATATCTTCTCTTCATTTGTTGGGGATTCTGGGGGATTTTGACTCCTGGCCTACTTTTTCTTAGAAGGTGCACATACTTGGAATAACTGTCACCTACCTGGGGAATGGTAGATAAACCCAATGTCAGTCTGAAAAGATAAGAGTAAGTTGAAGATTAGTTATAGCTTGGTTTTTGTTGTTGCTGTTCTTATTTTCAGACAGGTTTTCACTATGTAGCTCTGGCCGTCCTGGAACTCACTCTGTAGACCAGGTTGGCCTCGAACTCACAGAGATCTGCCTGCCTCCACCTGACTGCTGGGATTAAAGGTGTGTGCCATCATGCCTGGTAAGCTTGGACCATGCCGTAAAGGCTCAGTCCCCAACCTGTTCCTATGTGGAGTAGTAGAGCCTTTAGGAGTTGAGATATACTGGAAGGATTTTAGGTCATTGGTTAGCACTCCTTTGAAGGAAATTTGAGCAACCCATTTTCTCCCTTTTATCTTTCTTTCTATTTGTTCAGCCATAGTCATATATACATATACATACATACATATATATATATATATATATACACACACACACACAATGTGCCACCACAGGCCCAAAGCAACAGTACAAACATCTATGACCCTGAACCAAAATAAACCCTTCCTCATGATATGCTGATTATCACAGGCATGTGTTTTAATGGGGAAAAGCTGTGAAGGACATGCTAACATCAAGATTTGTAATTCCACCTAACCCAGTGGCACACTAGATCAGTGCTTGAATGTGGACTTAATCTGAACTCTGTCTTCAAAATAAAATCTGGCAGGACCATTGTCCTCTCTATAGAGGAGGCTGCTGAGTTTAAGAGATGTCCTGAAGGTTTCACAGTTACTAAGAGGGGATGCCGTAAGCATCTGGAATACACATTCAACTCTTCTCTGTTCCTGGGTAGGGAAAGGCATCTCCGTGCTGGGGGACGAGGATGATCAAGTGGTAGCTGGCAAAGAAACTCTAGGTGGCTTTCCTTCCTCCTAGGAGATGGTCTCAGACTGGAGCCTGGTGGTGTGGAACGGGACAAGGGGCAGTGTGAATAGGGCCCAGGTTCCACTGCTCAGTAACAAGATTCTATACATAAGCCTGCTTTGAAACTCACCCACCCTCTTGTGTTAGATAGGCAAAAACTTCTTAGACAAAAAAAAAAAAAAAAGCATTAAGCTGGGTTAGGGTAATTTTCTAGCTTACACAAGGTCCTGGGTTCAGGTCCCAGCAACACATACACACACATACACACACACACACACACACACACACCCCATACAGCCCATACAAAATTGACACATTGGGCTTCACCAGAATGGCTTTCCTCCTCTTCTATGCCTAGTGTAGGAGATTGACCCAGGGTACTGTGCATTCAAAATAATTCCTTTATTCTGAGTTACATCCCCATCCCTAGACATCATCAAAACAGAAGTTTCTGCTTTTTGGTCATGGGTACACCATTTGGCTGTAAAAATAGAAGTATTGGGCTGGCGAGGTGGCTCAGCATGGAAAAACACTTGCTGTGTGAGTCTAAAATTCTGAGTTCAATAACCTGATCCCAAGGTAGAAAGAAACAGCTTCTAAAAGTTGTCCTCTCTCCTCTACACATGCACTATGACTTGTGTGCTGTGGCACGGGCACACACACACACACACGCACACGCACACACACACACACACACAAACACACAAATAATAAACAACATAAAAATAAAACATCTTGGGTCTTGGGGGATGGCTCAGTTAGTAAAATACTTACTAAACAAACACAAGGACCCAAGTTCAATCCTTAGTACCTACATAAAAATTAGGCATGATACTGACCTCCACAAACACACATGCAAGTACACCCATACACATGTGCACAAACACATACACACAAAATAAAAATAATTAAATTAAATTAAATTAAATTAAAATACTAAGTTGGGCATGGTGGCTCATGTCTGTCATTGCAGCATGGAATGGTTTCCTGGGAAACCGAGGCAGGAGAATTGCCATGAGTTTGAGGCCAGCCTGAACTACATAGTGAATTCTTGGCCAGTTCTTCACAAGAACATCATTGTCCCCACCTGTCCTCAAAGGCAGCAGTCTCTTCGTAGAGTTCTTCAACATCTAGTGTGACCCTTTGACCAGTGGCCCTAGTACTATCGAACTGGGTAGCCCAGCAAGGGACACAAACACTTTACCCCCATGGTGCCCCCGCAGATTGTGTACATTACTATTGTGATTGTTATTGTTAGCATTCCACAGCTGAGAAAGGAGAGGCCGAGAGTAACTTGTCTGAGCATGGGGGGCCGCCGGCCGCCCCCCTCTCGCCTTCTGCTCCCCCCCCCCTGCCGCCAGGTTGGTAGGTAGATCCAAGTACGGGTCTGTGTGAAAGGCCAAGTAGTTTTCCCAGCCTGGGTCCTGGAGCCCAGAATGGGTTTCTATGAGTCTTCCCAGCCTCCTCCTTCATCCGGGGCTTACTTGGAATCTCCCAATCTCTGCTTTGGATCTCGATGCTGCAGAGTCCACCACCTGCAAGGAATTTCCAGAAATCACAATCATTCACAATGCCAATCACCCCTGCCCTCTGTGGAAGAGGTAGCAAGGATATAGCTGGTGTCTCATGTACCTCAGGCTGGCCTCAAATTCACCGTGTAGCCAATAATGACCCTGGGCTTTTCATCCTTCTGCCTCCACCTCTCACACTTTGGGGTTCCAGGTGTAGGCCACCACCCCCCCTTCACCGAGTGCTTCCTAATGACCAGTGCTTGTGTGTCATTGTTCTTACAGAGTTCTCAGAGGAATCTTGTGAAGCCCATATTTTTAGTTCCATTTCAGTGATGAAGATATTGATCAGAGAGATCAATTTATTTGTCCTGGGTCAGCACAAAGCAAGCCGTTGCAATTGACTCTACTACAGATTGTTCTGGTTGTTTCCACTGTGTCTTGTGCCCAAGAACATGAAAATGCCCCAGGGGATAGCTACCTAGTTGCCCTCAGCCCTGTGCTGGGTTCCTAGAAGGTACTTGATAGACATATATTCACCATGGTTGCTGGTTCCCTCATGGTGGAGGGCAGAGGATGTCACTCTGGTAACGTAACGAGAAAATCTGGCTGCTATGTTCACCTAAGCACTTAGCATAGCCAGTTGGCCGTCTAACACTGGTTGAATGAATGAATGAATGAGTTATTTGTCCCATCAAGGGGAATAAAAGTTGGAGATTATGCTTTGGAGACAGAGGAAACAAATGGTCTCATCTCTGAAAACAGACATTGGGGCCAAAGTATTGTCTGTGACTGAGGCAGGACAAGAAAATTGTCCCATTTAGCTGGAGGCCGGTTTGGCTCCTTACCCGTATTAAGATATTCTCCTCAAAGAACTTTGCGGGAACCTCATGAAAATTCTGGAAGAACATCTGGAACAGAGAGATGGGGCAGACAGTTTCTTCCCCGACTTTATCCAAAGGCCTAGGAAATTTGAAGCTTCAGAATGATGAACTTCTTCCACTGCCAGCCACGACCCTCCCCCTCACTGTGGGCCCTTATCAGAGTCTCTCTGCCTGTGACCACCCTCACACTCCTCCAGAACCAGAGGATCCCTCAGCTCTCAGGGGCTGTTCTGCCCAAATAAAAGGGCTCCCTAGAGAACCTAGCCATTCGAACCCAAGCTAGCTGCACCAGGGTGGCTACCCTGCCAGTCTGCTCCACCCTTCTCTGTGTTAGCGAGAACTCCTTTCTCCTGTCACGCTCCTGCTTAAGCCCTCCATGATTCTCCAGGGCTATCTGTGGTGGGACCCCGGTCTGATTCTATACTCCCCTAAATTGAGTTCTATTTGCATACATTGGTGTTTTACCTGCATGAGGGGGTTGGATCCCCTGGAACTAGAGTTACAGACAATTGTGAGCTGCCACGTGGGTACTGAGAATTGAATCCAGATCCTCTGGGAGACTGGTCAGTGCTCTTAATTGCCAAGCGCTTGCATTGTACACTCCCAACCACACCCTTCCTCTACAGTTTGGGGGGCGGGGAATCAAAGTTGCTTCTTGCTTCCAAGTCTTTGAATTGTCTTTCTCCATCTCCTCTCTACCTTCCTCTGCTAAGCTTTTCCTTCATCGATTTTGTTGCCTTTTTCTGAGGCCTCGCCACTGTCCCAGCACCTGGTCCCTGTAGCTTCCCTCTTTCCTCTACTCAAGTAATCACTTGCCAATTGAACACGCACCAGCGCCATCTGTGTGCCTGACGCAATGTGATCGGGCCTTAGCAGTGATGAGAGGCACATGAACTGGTGTTCATTTTAGGTGCTCAATAAATGCTTGTAGCTTGCAGACAGTCCACTCGGAAAGCCAGATTGCCAGCTGCTTCCAGGAAACGCCCAGCTCCTGACTGGCTCGCCCACCCTATGTGACCTGTTCAGCCTACCTCATTGAAGAAAGGATTGTTCCCCATCTTGATCCGCGTGAGATGCCGGTGGCCTCCAATGTTTATCTTCACTACTGGCTTGATGTTGTTGCCCAGGAGCTGACGGGCTTCAAACACCTTCAGCCGAACCTACAGAGAGGATGCATCAGCTGAAAGGACTTGAATGTTAAGCTTGGTTCATCAATTTGAGGCAGAACCAAGCTGATGCCCATGGGAGGCCTGCCCCTTTCTGAACGGAGGAGTAGATGGGGAGGGGGTAGATGGGAGGTGGGGAGGGGGTAGA